CTAGTTTAACAAATTCAATAAAAATATTTCAGAACAACTATACTGTAGTTTTTGATAGCAACTTTATTCTATTTTTTAAATATATTTTTATTGATTTCAGAGAGGAAGGGAGAGGGAGATAGAAACATCAATAATGAGAGGCAATCATTGATCAGCTGCCTTCACGCCCCCTACTGGGGATTGAGCCTGCAACCCGGCGGGCATGTGACCTTGACTGGAATCAAACCCGGGACCCTTCAGTCCACAGGCAGATGTTCTATCCACTGAGCCAAACCGGCTAGGGCTTGACAGCAGTCTTAGAGACTAGAGCAGGAATGGACAGTGTTAGAGTTGGAGAAACCTTAGGTAGCACAGTGAATAAGCAGCAGGTCAGGATGGCAACACAGGCCTCCAGTTCCCAGGCCAGCTCTTTCCACAGCTCCGGGGTGCTGCCCTGCTCTAACTTTAAGCCATTTCAGTGGGATGGATCTCTGGATTCACTAACTACTGCTCTTTCCACAACAGAATCAGCTTGATAATAACTTCAGCAGCTGAACTCTAATTGCGAAGTTGGACTCTATATTATTTGTGCATATATTGAAAATTATAATGGAATGCCATGGAAACAGGACCCAAGCTTGGCTTCTTTGTGCACTTAATCACACAACTTTGTTACATTGTCACCACATTCGAGTCATTTCAGCACTGATTATTTGGTTTCTTAATCAGAATCACAGCATTTCGGAGATGGCCAGTTCACAGTGCTCTTAAATTATGTTTTTTATAAAGCTACAGCTCACCTGGAAGCCAAATACATTAAAAAACAAACAAACAAACAAACCCATTTTTGTTGAACACTTGTGGGCCGAGTCAACTCTGAGAAAACCTTTCAGATTTTCAAAATGTAATCTGGAAATTGCTGATGTCATTTAACAGTCTCCCTGTAGAGATGGGAAATGAAGCCAGCCGAGAAACAGGGTGGGGCTCAGGACACGAGTCTCCTGCTTCCTCCAGCTCTCCATTTTTTCTGTTTTAGATCCTCCACCACAGTGGTTCTCCACCTTCCTAATGCCGTGACCCTTTAATACAGTTCCTCATGTTGTGGAGACCCCCAATTTCATTGTTACAAATTGAACATAATTAAAGCGCTTGGCTTCTTTGTGCACTTAATCACACAACTTTGTTACATTGTCACCACATTCGAGTCATTTCAGCACTGATTATTTGGTTTCTTAATCAGAATCACAGCATTTCGGAGATGGCCAGTTCACAGTGCTCTTAAATTATGTTTTTTATAAAGCTGCAGCTCACCTGGAAGCCAAATACATTAAAAAACAAACAAACAAACAAACCCATTTTTGTTGAACACTTGTGGGCCGAGTCAACTCTGAGAAAACCTTTCAGATTTTCAAAATGTAATCTGGAAATCGCTGATGTCATTTAACAGTCTCCCTGTAGAGATGGGATATGAAACTGGCCGAGAAACAGGGTGGGGCTCAGGACATGAGTCTCCTGCTTCCTCCAGCTCTCCAGTTTTTCTGTTTTAGATCCTCCACCACAGTGGTTCTCAACCTTCCTATGCCGTGACCCTTTAATACAGTTCCTCATGTTGTGGTGACCCCCAATTTCATTGTTACAAATTGAACATAATTAAAGCATAGTGATTAATCACAAAAACAATATGTAATTATATATGTGTTTTCTGATGGTCTTAGGCGACCCCTGTGAAAGGGTCGTTC